CCCATTATTCGGAATTTTCATTTATGCCAATGATTTTTATCTGCCACCAGCTTTCCAATGATATGTATTTCATCAAGATCGGTGATTAGCACATAAAACAGTTGGATTGTAAGTCTGGTGCACAAATGAAATGTACTGCAATATTATATTTACTCTTGAATAAAATATTTTAATTAAATAACAATTTCTCTTTTAATACATCACATAACCCGCACTTTGCAGATAACCCGCACTCAGTTAATTCCAAAAATATGACTTTTTTCATCAGATAACCCGCGGGTAATAGCCACGATTTTACGGTAAATATTTTGCTATTTAATGAAATATGCGCCAAAAATAATTATTTATAAAATAAATTTTTGCATAAATAATCAAGAAACAAAATGTTTGTTGTGATACAAATTTGAATTGATAAATCTGGAGTTCAGGGATGTGCTCAACGGTTATGTCGTGGCAACTATTGTCCGCAGCAAACATTGCATTTGTTGTTTGTATAAATTTGCTGTTTATATGGTTTACAGATGTGGACAACTATTTCAGAGGACTGTACGCACGACCCGATGGAGAGGTAGTGTTGTCAACATATAAACGGGAATTTATTGATGGCCTGTGCGCTCAGTCGGTCAGTCATACATCAATGGGAGTGAGTTATAATGTGTGGACTACTCTAATCTATTGGCAGATACTATGTTTAAGTATGTGGAGGAACCGGACTAGCGTTAGTATAGTAATTGTAATTAATGAGCATGGTCCTTGGGAACAGCTAGTAAAAACAAAGGCCATGATATTGGTATTAATTAGTATAAATGTGATTACGTTATGCTCCAGACACTATTTATGCAATGTTTGATAAAATTTATTGATAATTTTTGTACCGATTGTTTGTAAATTATATAGATTATAATTAGTTAATTACATTTTTTTTATAATATGTAATTTTTTATAATATAGCTTAATTACAAACAATAAATTGTCAAGAATATTTAAAATAAACAATGTGTTTAATGTTACAATATTTAATTATGGAAATATATTTATAAATTAATTAGTAAGCGTTTACTGTATTTGAAAGGTATTCAAACCATAAATAATAAAATATGTAGAAATAATTGCACGCATATTATAGTTACGGTAATAAATCTAACCATGCACCAGCAAATGACAGCCAGAATATGCGGCCATAATAAATTGAGCTATTTACAATGTTAGCTATTTAATTTACTAGATTGCGTTTATTAATACATATCAATTAAACTGACTCGAAAGAGAATTTAGTAGATTGTTGAAATTCCCTTGCGCAAACAAACAAATAAATATTTAATTTGCTAATTATCTCCTTGTTAGCGACAAAATCAGATTAACAAGTTAAACTAAAATAAATCACAACGTTTGTTTAACGTTTAGCTAAACAGTATAGGTATGTGAACGGGACGATTGACCTTCAATTCTCTACGAGAGTGACAATATGTGTGTCTACTCTCTCACTCTCTTCCTCTCTCTCTCGCTCTCTCACTCAGTGATCGCTACCGTAAACATTGTATAACAGTCTGTGCATCGATTCAATTAGCCGTACAAACACTGCACACCACATATGATGGGAAAACACCTATCAGTTTACTGTATTTAATATACACTGTATATTATGTAGCATTGATTTCAAACAAGCGCAACCACTTCACGCCAACACACTTTATGTTATACTCTGTTGTTCTAGAATATTCATACATCAAATACAGTGTACACTAGATATGACAAACAGTTAACTAATTACTTGGAACCTAACTTCATAAAATATTTTTATTTTATAGCATCATAAGTGGGGCTTATAATAAATTTTTAAAACTAATATTGTGAATGCAATATATTGTAAATATTCTGGATTTAACTTCATAAGTTTTTAAGTTAATGGTACAAGTATGATGGTGTTTATAACGAGAGCACTTGTAAGTTTCTTAAGGTTAGAGCATTAAGCTGTGTATTTCACTGTCAAACCACACAACACACACCCCTATCATTGTGTGACGATTGGGATAGTGTTGAGAGAGGAGAGAGAGAGAGAGAGAGAGGAAGAGAGTGAGAGAGTAGACACACATATTGTCACTCTCGTAGAGAATTGAAGGTCAATCGTCCCGTTCACATACCTATACTGTTTAGCTAAACGTTAAACAAACGTTGTGATTTATTTTAGTTTAACTTGTTAATCTGATTTTGTCACTAACAAGGAGATAATTAGCAAATTAAATATTTATTTGTTTGTTTGCGCAAGGGAATTTCAACAATCTACTAAATTCTCTTTCGAGTCAGTTTAATTGATATGTATTAATAAACGCAATCTAGTAAATTAAATAGCTAACATTGTAAATAGCTCAATTTATTATGGCCGCATATTCTGGCTGTCATTTGCTGGTGCATGGTTAGATTTATTACCGTAACTATAATATGCGTGCAATTATTTCTACATATTTTATTATTTATGGTTTGAATACCTTTCAAATACAGTAAACGCTTACTAATTAATTTATAAATATATTTCCATAATTAAATATTGTAACATTAAACACATTGTTTATTTTAAATATTCTTGACAATTTATTGTTTGTAATTAAGCTATATTATAAAAAATTACATATTATAAAAAAAATGTAATTAACTAATTATAATCTATATAATTTACAAACAATCGGTACAAAAATTATCAATAAATTTTATCAAACATTGCATAAATAGTGTCTGGAGCATAACGTAATCACATTTATACTAATTAATACCAATATCATGGCTTTTGTTTTTACTAGCTGTTCCCAAGGACCATGCTCATTAATTACAATTACTATACTAAC